GAGACTTAACCAGTCTGAAATTATAATCATCAATGTGCTGTAACCCTTTCAGCAGAAGAATTTTCTTGAATTCATTCGCCATGTCTCAAGTTATGGATGTGCCTCACTAGAAATTTCTTCCACGGTAGTCCAGATCTTGAGGCTTTCTTTAGAAATGCAGGAATCACTGTTTACTTTGTTTAAGTTGGAAGATAAATCGGTAAAGCTCTCAGTGACTGCAGGGCAGAATTTTAAAATCTCTTGAAGGGCAGAGAAGAAAGAAGTGCTTTGAAAGATAGTAAGAGAAAAGGGCACTGGTTAGAGCCACTTAAAAACTCAACTTAGTGGTGGTTTCCTCGTACTGTCTTTCTTTCTTTTTTTAATTGAAGTATAGTCAGGTACAATTTTGTGTCAGTTTCTGGTGTACAGCATAATGTTTTAGTCATAAATATACATGCATATATTCGTTTTCATATTCTTTTTCATTATAGGTTACTACAAAATATTGAATATAGTTCCCTGTGCTCTTTCTTGTGTTTTTCCCTTGTTTTGGTGAGGGACATCTTTCAGTAGCTTCCAGAGGTACATATTCTTAAGAGCTTGCTAGTCTTAAAATGTCTTTATTCTACTTTCCTGGATAGTATTTTAGGGTTTAAATTTCTTGGTTGAAAATAATTTCTGCTCAGAAAGATACTGCTTTTGCGAAGTCCATTGCTATTTGGTTGGCTGTCTGTGTTATCAGCTCTTTCTTCTCTCTTCCTCAGGGCGCCATCCAATTTTTTCCCTCTAAATCAAGATATTCCAAAGTGCAATTAAAGAATTTCAAAATGAAATCTTCTACATTTTTCGACCCCTTGCTTGAATTGTTTTTGTTCCTTTCTTTTCCAAGGATCAATTTAAATGCCTTCCTATTCACAGCTTTGTTTTCAATAATTGCAGTTTGCTAGAGAGCTTCAAAGGCTGAAATGTCTGGCACTTGGTACATGAAATACCACCTCCGAAAAGCAGGAGGAGTAATCACACTTCATTTTAACACCCTATGTACTGCCCTTGAAAGGGTCTGGGAAGGGTCAAGAAAAAAGAGAAAGTAATCACTGGTTACTGTCCAGATTTAGCCACAAGTTAAGGTGAGAGGTCTGTTTTCTGCAAGTGCATCTCACACTTTACTGAGTGAGAGCATGACACATGCTGGAAACTCAAAGTATAGGTCAGCCGATCCCATACAGGCTGATTTTAAAGCAGCTGTTACTCCAAATAGTATTTCATTATAAATTAAAAAATCTGGGAAAATGGTAAGCTGGATCAAATTCCAGTGGGACCGTTCTAAGCAAACTAGAATGTATGGCCACTCTAGGTAGATTAATATTGTCACCAAGAGATCCATTTCAGAATTTATGGAAGGAGGGTAATATCCTGAAACATGCATTGAATATCTCTGTAAATTGCACTGGCCTGGGCATTATGAAAAAACACAAAACAGACGAGGGATTTGTAAGGGAAGAAGAGGGTTGCTTGGCTGGAGAAAAGGGGGACGTGGAAAGTAACACAGGTTGAGCGTTGCTAGAGGTGAATGCCGTGGATTCATCTTGTAGTGGCTTGAACATAAATTCAACCACAATTTGGAGATTTCATACCCTCTGTGTGCTATCAACAAACGTCCCAGTTGGATGAGGGCTCAGAAAACAGCAGATTTAATGACACTTCAACTTTCAAATGCAGTCTCCGGTTTGCAGGCAGTGAGAGTTGCTTACTAAGTGGGCAGCTTCTAAAAAGGCTGATACTCGTTCTGAAGAGTTAGAAAAATGTTGCGGACCTTGCATGAGCACCAGCTGGTTTCTCTGAAGTTGGCACGTGGTGCTTTTTCTTGAGAAAGCCAAGACTGCTTCTGTGTTCACCCAGGGCAGTGGCATATCTGAGTTCAAGGAAAAGCTGGACAAACATGTTTCATTATGATGACTTCTATAAGAAGAGAGAAAAGACACTCCCCTGAGCTCTGAAACAGGCATTTGCAAAACTGGGGACTTGTTTTAGGACTATTTATCTCCTTACTTAAATGCATACTGTACATATTCTTCTCAACGTGCCAGGCATTGCACTTGCTGCTGGGTCACAAGGCAGACGGGGTTCCTGCCTTCATGGAGTTTGGGAATGAATAAAAGGAAATATTTCAATAAGTGGAGGTAATTTTAAGAAATTGATTACCTATCCTCCTGTTCTTCCAACAAGGTGTGCATTTCAAATACAGATTGGTGCCAAGGTGAACATATTTTTGACTGCATATTAGAGAAGAATAAGGGGTGTTTGAGAAGTTCATTCCTCATCGGATTGATTTAATGGAAGAAAAATATTTAACCCATTGATATAAATAAAAGATCATTGTAATGATAATAATAATTCATTGGGTACTTTCCATGTCCCAGAGACTGTGTTGGGAGTTTTCCATGCATTATTTCATTTAATCCTCTCAACCATCCCATATGTTAGGCGCTATTATTATCTCTTTTTTTAAAAAGAAGAAATGTGACTTGCAGAAAGGTTAAAAGGTTAAGTAACTTACTTGCCCTGGGGCATGTATGGTGAACGGATGAACCAAGAACCAAGCCTAGTGAGTCTGACTCTGAAATGTCAATCTTAACTCCAGACATCCCTGCTTCATCAGATTCAGGCTAGGGGGCGATCGTTTGTGTGATTGCTGTGGATCAGTCTGTATGGTCACTCTTTTCAGATATTGGTGTGGAGTGAATGCATTGTTGAAGGGTCTGAAAGCTCTAGTCAACCGCTGTTCAGGGCATCGCCTTCATCTAGCGCTGTCCTTATTTGTGGCACAATGGATGTGTCGTCGGTGTCTTATCAGTGCCTCTCTGGAAACCCTGTCCAAGAGTCCCAGCAACTGAGAAAGGGGCAGGTACCTACTCAGCAGAACCCAGTAAGAAGAAAAAAATTTCAACCCCAATTTGCTTTCCCATCAAGGAAATCTCCTGTGTCACAGAGTCTCATAAATGGCAGCTGGTAAATGGCTCATAAGCTGGCTCATGTAAGTGGCACTCACACTCAATATCAGCTTGAAAAGTGCCAGGGCATGTTCAGGGGGTGTGGAAAGCTGAGATGTAATCACTTACAACTCCCTGTGTGGATGTGTGTGTGTGTGTGTGTATGTATTATTGTCAAGCTAGTGTCACAAATACTAAATTATTTAATTAGGCAGCACAAGATTAAGCCCATAAAGTGTGTTAATGTGACACATCATTTCACAAATGGGACTTCAGGATGGCTTGCTGGGATTCTCCAACATGACAAAAATACCTGTTAACTTTTACTGCAGCTTGTCTTAAAATTAAGGTAGAAGCAGCTAATAGTTTAAGAAAGAAGCAGTGATGGGGGAGGAGGCATGGGCTGGAAGTCAGTGTCCTTGAACAGTGATTCTGCCTTTGTAATTTGCTTTGTTACTTTCCTAAATTCTCTTCAGACATGCAAATAAGCCGCCTCAGTTACCTAATCACGTGACAATAATGTCCACTAGTTACTGAGTTCCATTCTGGTGAGTAAACCATGTTTTAAAGACGTTTTATGCAATGCAGTAATTTATTTCATATTATTGTTATATGCCATTTATTATTCATGTATTATTCGTTACATGTTGAGCATTGGAAACAATCCCCATGCTTAAAAATTGGGAAATTAGTTAGATAAACTGGGATACATCCACATTATGAAATGTTACCTAGCCATTAAAGTGATGCTAGCAAAGAGTTCATAACACCAAGGAAAACAATTATTATGTTCAATGAATAAATTAAATTAAGATGTGTCTATATCATCTAACCTTTGTAAAATATCCATAGGAAAAAAACTGGAAAGAACATTCCAAAATGTTAAGATTGTCTCTGGGTTACAAGTTACGGCTATCAGCTTTTTTCCCCCTTTTTTGGCTGTTCCTTCTGTGTTATTCATATTGCCTGTCATAAGTGTTATTTTCTTAATCTCAAACCAAACAAAAAAAAAATCTCATGTAAGAGACATTTGACTTATTCACATGTACCAGTGGGAACTTCAGTTAGCAGGGCCACCATTATGTTTGGGTATTCAGAAGAGTTTCAGTATCCTGCAATTTTAGTATTTTCAGTAAAGGTGATTTGTTCAAAGTATGAAAAAGATGCGGTTTAATTATGGCCTTTTATCCAAATGCCATTTATGGCAAAAG